TTTTTCTTCCAGTTTAAGAGTACATGAATTATCCTTCTTTTCATCTACCATAATTCTCCCTTCCTCCAACTTTATTTTGCTCTTCCTATCTGACTTCTTTTCTTGAAGAATTATTCCATCCTGGCTGGCCAAACTAATACTATCTCTTACAGATTGCTGCTCCTGTCTGACACATTTTGATGATCCTGTGTTCTGTTCTTCAAGATCAACAAACATCCCTGAAAATCCCTTTTTCTCTTGATTAAGTTCCACCTGTTCTTGTTCTATTAGAAAATCACTTGAGGATTTTAACAATGTATTGCTTTTCTTTTCATCAACTACTTGCTTTACTGTTATATTAAATTCATTCTCTTGGACACTACTTTGTATGACAGAGAGACTACTTACTTCTATATGCATCTGTGATTTATCCTCTTCTACAATTTGTCCTACTGTTCCTTTAATTTCTTCACATCTTTCAATATTCTCTGCCATAAGCCCTTTACCCGCTGAACTGCCTTCAGTAGAATCACTCTCCTGTGCAGCAATTGCTGCTTGTTCTTCACAACTTTCTCTTACTTCTTTATGCATTTTCATGCCAGAAACTGTATAATTTCTATCTCCTTTTCTTTGAATAGAATTATCCTTGTCCAATTCAATTTCTACAAATTCTTCTGATTGTTCCCTTGGTGGTTCTAAATCCTGAGCAGGGACATGAGATGATGCTGAAGTTGAACTTAAGTTATCATAATCACTGCATGTATCTGGGCTTCTCCTTCCATCTTCATCTATATACTGAAACTCATGACCTACATCTAGGGCTCCCTTCAGGGCATAATCAGCTGCTAAGAGCTCTTCATGTATGTCCTCAACTGAAACCCAATGATCTAGGCTGCTTCCTTCTTCATCTAATGGAATAGCAGGAATTTCATCATCAGATGTTGCTATAGCTTCTTCTTTTTCTAAGGAATTACTTTCAATTTTAATTATTTCTATCAATTGTGCTTTAACCTTTGCAGTGCCCTTCTCAGACACTGGGACATGCCAATCCTTTGACAGTACTGTCTGATGCTTTGCCTTTGTTGCTGGAATTGCTAAGTTACCTCTTTCAACTTCTGATAAAGGAGTGTCTGGCAAAATGGCTGATACTATCAAAGTCCCAGTAACTTCACTTTTGTTAGTACTATCTTTTGTGTTTTGAAAAAAATCAGTTTCCATTTCTTTGTTCTCAGGTTCTAAGACTGGTACAAACTGTGATTCAGGAGCTGGAGGCTGTGAAGTTTGTGACTCAGCTACAAAAATACTCTGCAGATCTACTGAAACCAGCTTAGCATCATTTTTAATTCCAGATGCTTGCAGAGACTCTCCTTTTTCTGTGGTAAGTGGCGTTTTGACTTTAACGTCTGAAACATTTTTGTTCTTAGATTCAGTTTTGGGATGTAAATGACCTTCAGATGTTGTAGCTGAGGTTGCTGTTGATAGGACTGTTTTATCTTCAACCGGTACTAGAACACACTGAGGTTCTTCCAATTTTAATGATGTACTTTCTTTCATGGTTAGCTCACATATTTGTTTACATTCAAATGAAAAATCATGAAATTCATAACTTTGAGTTGTGTTTTTCTTGTCATTACTTGATTCTTCAATAACCGCTTTTGGATGAAAAGACACATCAGAATGATCCCTGAACTCAGGAGGTAATTCAATGTCATCAAATGTTTTGTAATCACCAGAGTTCCCACCTTTGTCTCTGCACAGAATTTTTCTTTCTCTCTCCTTGAAATTTTTATCTAATTCACGACTCTCATTGAAAATATTTTCTGAACCTGAGATGTCTTCTAATACTTCTAACTCCTCATGAGTATCCACTTCAGTATCAGAAAAATGTGTTAATAGAGAATTAATGTCTTTGCTAGTTATTCCTACTGAAATATTTTCTTGTCCTCCAACAATTTCTGAACATGTTACTTGAGGTAACTGAAATTTGTCTATTTTTTTAATGTGCAATTCTTCAGGCCCATCTGTCTTCTTCATTTCTTGAGGCTGTTGATTTCTGTTATCAATAATAAATTCAATGGTAGAATGTTCATGTAAATATTCTGCAGTCTGTTCACTTTCACCTTTCATTATTTTGACATCATTAACTTTTAATGATTTTAAACTTGTAGGTTTATAAGGTACTTGAGGTTTAACAGTAGGCTGTTCTTCTGAGACACATAATTCAGTCTGTGGTGTGACATTACCAACTGTTGGTGAAAATAACTGTTCTGCCTGTACATCAGCTGCAGGTTTCTGTACTGCTTTAGACTTTACAGGCCTCTTCATGTTTGATGGAAAAGCTTCCTGCATATCTTCATAAATGCTTCGTCTATCAGTAAGAGGAGGAGAAGAACCCTTCTCTGCATCTTTGCCTGCAGTTCTTGTTGATGGGAGTTTGAAGTTAGCACTCTGAGATGTAAGACCGTGTTTGTCTGGTTGTAATGGATTCAAAACATCAGCAATCACTTTATCACCTACATTTGATGAAGTATGTTTTCTTAATGGTTGAGATGTCTGTTTTGGAACTTCCCATTCCAACAGCCTGCCTAACACATCTTGTGTATCATCATCTGTAATACTACTTTCATCTTCAATAGTGGAAGGCAGTCGTTTAGCTATAATTTCCAAAGGCTTCAGAGGTTCTGACTTTCCAACACCATTATCAAGAGTGTCATCCTTGCTTGAGAAAGCATCTGCAGGTGGAAGACAATGCACAGCCACAACTGGAGCATCTAGGGACTTAGCTCGACGTGAAGACGCAGGAGATCCAACTTGACGTACTGGTGAAAATGCAGAACCTTCTGAGAGACCAAGTCGAGCTCGAGCAAACAGAATTGGAGAGCGATCACGCTTACGAGGCAGCAACGGTCCTGTAGGTAATTCAGTTGGAGGTCCCATTCTGCTCTTCCTTGGAGTTGCCAAGGATTTCTCCCCACGTTCATCATCGCTACTTGTAACAGATCTGGGCGTAACATCTTGTATCACCACACTTGATTCTTTAGGCAATTTCTCCAGAATTTCACACTTAGTTTCATCAACTGTCTGTACTGACTCCAAAATAAAGTCTGACTTCATTACAGATTCAGATATTTTAGCATCATCTGTATCAGCATCTTGTGAAATAATAACTCTGGACATTTCCTTTGTATCATGACTAGCATCCTTACTTCTAACCATTTGTGCAACATTCTTTGTAGCATCAGATATATTTCCTATTTTTTCTGCCATTTCAAAACTACCAGAATTAGCAGAACTCTGTTGTTCAGCAATGTGCTTATCATCTGATGCTTTCCTTTTATCCATTCTACTGAAATTATCTTCATGTTTATCCTTTAGTACCAGTTTCTTATCTGACTTCTGTGCTTTATAGTCATCAGTCAACATTTCCACTGAATGGAGTACCGCATTTTCTTGGCTAGCAGCAGTTCCATTCATTGCATGTCTTTTGTGTAATGTATAGGGGATGTTATATTCACTAAGGCTTGCAGCCATAGTGCCAGCATAATGTGATGACTCATCTCCCTCTACCTCATCATCTGATTCTCCACTCCCAGCTGGTGTCACATCTATAGATTTCTGATGAGTTAATACACGTCGTTTCCTCTTACTGCTGCCCTTTGTCCTAAAACTACCTGTATGAGGATCACTTTTTGCCCTTTCAACAGGGGTATGGGTCATACCTACCATCCTACCACCACTGTTAAGTACCTCTTCTCTACTATCGAAACCTACAACTAACCCAGGTTTACATTTGGCATTGTATTCCAGGAAGTGTGTCTGTGCTTGTTTGCTGTTTACTGTGTGAATAAGCCCTTCTTCATTACTGACTGTAACATGTTTATGTGGACTAGAAATACATTCCTCCTCTCTACTCTTTGGTTTATATTCATGATATATAGACACCAAGCTTTCTTCATGACCTGTGCCACCAAAACCCTTCCGTTCAAGTGTATAAAACTGTGGTGATTGTACTTGCATTGAGGTCTGAATTTCTCTGTTTTCTCTCATTACATTTCTGTCATCTAGGCCCTTTCTTTCATCAATATCAGTATCTGTACTATGCAGTCCACCTATTACATTCTCAACACTAGATTTATTACTTATTTGCTTGGCATAAGTTTGAGAACCTACAGTTTCAATCTCATCCATCTGAAACACAGCCAAATCATCATCATGACCAACCCTAAACATTTCATCTTCATCCATTGGAAGGATGTCCCCACCCGATTCTAGACTGCAGGATCTTGTCCCTGAGTATGATCTGACCCTGCACCTCATTGCATCCTTCTCATCATCATCCTCTTGTTCATCATCCCCCTCCTCCTCTCCCTCACGCTCCAGAAGCTCATAAGAATCATGTGAGAGATCATCATGTGAGTACATGATTTCCTCCTGTGACCCCGAGTCCATCCCCCCACTTGTCAGCAATATACACTCGCTTCCAGCTTCCATCATTCCCCCTGGTTCATCCCCACCACCACTCTCTGTAGAGAGGCTCGAGGTTGTGCCAGGATAGCTACTTGAGTAGATCCTGGTATCAGGAACTGTATCTGACCCCCGGTCTACCGAATTTGTTTTACTCCCTGCAGCACTATAACAAGCTCGCCGACTATCATCATAGCGTGTGATAGGAGATTCTATAAGACGCTCCTGTCTGTACACAGATTCATAGTATACCCTCCCATTCCGAACAGGATCAACACAAGTACTCACTTCTTGCCCCTTTTCAAATCTACTGTCATTGCGCAGATTCCTGCAGCTGGCACTCCTCTGCCAATCATGCCTACACAAACCCTGGTTAGACATTCTGTCAGATTGCTGCATACGGTTAGAAGCATTAGATTTAGATTTGCTAGTGTTAGAGCGAGGCAGGGTTGTAGGATGTTGTGTGATAATACGTGTAGTAGTTGGGGTTTGAGAAGTAGTAATGTGAGTGTGATGCGGAAACTGGCGAGACTGGGTGCTGCCATAGTTGATCTGACCTGTGTTCTGGTGTCGGTAAGGACTCTGATGTTGACTCCCGCCAGTACTCAGCATCCCCCGTTGTTCCGTCACTCCAGTGGTGTACTCTTGTTCCTCGTCGTCTGTCTGGCGCCCACCTGGGTAGAAATGCTGTGGGCTGGATGTGATCGATGTACCTGGCGACAGGGAGGTGGTGAGGGGGGGTGATGGGCTCGTAGTCCCGACACCTCCTGCTGCCATTATGGTCAAGTCCCGTGTATCGAAGTCGTGGATATCCACAGTGTGTGTTGGGGACAGGAGAGGACTCACATTGCCAGCTTGGTCCCTGTTGGAGTGGCGGTGGTGGTGGTGGTGTGAGCCCACACCCCGCTGGTGCTCCATCGTCGACCCCAGTGTCATCGAGCCGCATGAGAGAGACGCTGGAGTGCCGACTGCAATATGTATTAATTTATATTATCAGTTTGGGATCAGAAGCTTAATATGGTTCAGGTTCATGACCAAAGAAACATCAGAATTTATGTGAAAGTTTATATTTCATTCTGGAATAATGCAAACATGTAACAAAAGAATACAGTTATGCAAATAACTGTCAGTATATTATGTAAGATCTACAGGAAAGGGAGAAATTATTACACATTTCAGAGCATATGGATTTCAGATACTATTCTAATCAAACTTTACATTATTTATAACGCAGTAACAGAGAAGGACAGCTATGAGACTATACTATGTGAATAACAGGGCATAAAATATCACAACCAGGGAAGCGGTAACAATTCCAAAACATACTTTTAATGACTAAAAACATTCTTCCTCTAAATGTAAAGAAAAAAGTTAAATATATATTTGATACAGATGGAAAGGTGATAAATATCACATGGCAAAATTCTAATTTGACTCAATTCATTCTAATGTATTTTGAAGGTAATGGATTTAAAAATCACTTAAACATAATTTAGAAATATGCTACAAAACTAGTTATATTCAAGAAGGGGAAGAAACTATTGCCAGATACAACCATAAATGTCTTTGAATATGATATGACAAAAACATTCAATCAATCAATCACTCATTAGTACTTAAAGTATGCTGGATAAATACTTGAAAACATTTTACAGAAATCATTTATCAGGTAATTTGTACATGCTTCTAGCAACAAAACAGAATTCACAGCATTGAAATGGAGTGGTTGTCACCTACTACATGAAAATTGGATAACATCTCAGGAGAATCAAGAACAAATAAATATACAAAATAAAAAGAAGAAAGGCATGCTGCTTAAGAACACCTACCGACAGCATTATCTCCAAGAGGTAACAAGGGGTGTGCTGATAAGCTGGTTCCCACAACGTTCGCAACACTCGAGTGAGCCGAGCTCGAATGACGGAACGACTGAGACCTGCAGGGAGAAGAAGAGAAGAGGAAGTGAATTAGTCACTAGGCGAACCGTCACATACTTCGTTGTGCGCCCACACAAAACACACAATGGCTTCTACTAATAACATTAACAACTCAACATTAATGATAATGTAGAAGGAATACATCAGCATTTACTGTTGGTCAGTTGCTGATATTAAGAATGTGTAGTGATGCTTTTAAATGTTTCTGTCTTCATATACAAGTCTCAGTATTTTTTTAATATGTGGTTTGAGAGTAACATATTTAAGGCAATTATCTCACAATTCTCATCCTCCTCCCTTCCCCTCACCTTCCATGAGAATAAAATAAATATAGTCTACTAAAAAGAAACACAGAAAACATATCAAAGCCTACAACACATAACAGAAAAAACAACACATTCAAGGTCTCTTCAAGTCAACATATGAGTCTTGATTATATGGTGCAATGGAGTGACTACATGAATATGGAGGAACTCAATTGTCAGTACAAGATAAAATGACAAATTTCTTCATTCCTTCCCTTTATACATAGGATTAAGTATTATCTGATTTTTTTTCTATCTAAATTGTACAGGTAGTTGGCCAATAAATATTTGGCTCCGTAGTACACAGAAATACATCATACTATGACTTATTATAATGCACTGTTAACCCTAAATGAAACTAAAGTCATACAAAATTATATGCAAATAAAAACTGCCATTAAAAAAATGGGTTATGAAACTGGTACATTTACAGCATTTAACTTTATTTTTAAGACATATACTGTCAGTAAATATTAAATTAAGACTTACGTAGCAAACTGACAACAAAAGTAGCTCACTCTAAGCAAATATGTTTTATCTCTGGTATTATTAAAAAGTTTACAATTCAATGAACTCAACAAATTAACTGTTGGAGACATTTAATCCAATTGAAAGTTGGATATCTTATAATGACAAAATGACACTTAACAATGTAATGACAGAGTAGTGCTAAAAGAATGTCAGCAAGCTCTGAAGATAATCAAAGTCAACAAATCCCACAGTTTCAGCTCTGATATCCTGAATAAATATTTTATGTAAGATTCAGGACTGCTGACAACAGCTTACAGAGTTATCTATGCACCACATTTTTTATGACACAGGCATAACTTTACATTATAAACTGGAAAGTTACAACTTATTTAAAAAATTATTGTCCTTAAGTTTTCACTGCTTTTGAAAATTAAATGTGTTAAATGTTAAGATTTATCTGTTTTGGTACACAACGCAGTTGCAATTTTCAGTGTGAATATGTAATGGTTAGATGTTTTTAGAAGCCTTGTACAAGGCAGGCAGGGTGGTGAGTTTGGTTTGATAGTGCTGATTGGTTGAGCAAGAGTAGACTGCTATCCAACTGGAGATAAGGGAGTAGTTGCAGAAAAGAGGTGAAGAAATTTTTTTTGAGGGACACATCGTGAGGAGAAGAGATTATGAAAGAAGTCTTGGTGTCCACGTGAATCAGAAAAGGATTTTTCAAAACTATGGGGATAGAAGAGGTGACACTTTTACCACAAGGTTTGGAGGAGAGGTGATGAAGAATGGCCCTTTTCAGGGTTAAATGATAGGAGAAGAGGTAATGAAAGAATGCCAAGAAGTGGAAAAACTTTATGGGAAGAAGAGGCAATGAGAAGGTTTTCTCAACAAGTATGGGGAGGAAGGTTTAGTCAGTGGTTAGGGACGAAGGTAGTTGCCTGGGTGGCCTGTTCTACTGCTTCATTAACATTAACATTGATAAAAAATGGGGATGCAGCTAGATACAACATGTCTATAAAGGTCGCTCACTCTCCGAGACCTTATCTGATGACAACCTCTTATATGATAAACACAGAGAATAATTCTGACATCACACCAAACTTCATTATGAATTTAACTGGTCATTAATATATTATATTTATTAAGTCAGGTCTGACTGACAGCACACATTTACATGTACCCATTCCCTGTTTTTTTTTCATATATCATGATTACAGTTCCATTGTAACAGCTGAACTCAGAACTGTATAATAAATTAAACCGACCTTCCACATCAACAAACTGTTCACATATACAAGCTATTTCAAGCAAAATATTAGTTCAACATTTGTTTTTTCTCCTCATTATGAACCTGCAACACCAGTTTTATGAGTATCACCTAACAAAAGAAATATGCTATAATGAAAGATACTTCTGCAGTGTGAAATTCATGATATTAAATATACCAAAAATTCTGAAGTGTTATAAATAATGTCACTGTAACAACTGCTTATAAATATACTGAGAATGCAATTTGAAGGTTTTGCAAATGACCATTCCAATTTTTATATTACACTGTTTCTACCAATTGTTATCAGCACAATCTTACAAATGCACCATTCCTATCCAATCAAGGTTGCTGGAGGGTAAAGTTGATAAAATATTTCACTCCCAAGGCTCCAAGCAGATACAACTGAAGGACATGATAAACAGATAAAGGAACTACCATGGCAAACAGCACACAATGTGCATTGGTTAGCAACTGTCAGCTGCATACACATAAAAACAAAACAGTTTTTAACACTACCAAACAAATGAAGTAAATTTTTGCTGGTTCATGCATGAGTGTTGAGATAAAAGTTCAGGTCACCTAGTTCTACTGAAGTAGTTAAATCAATGAGTTTATGTTGACTGAAGAGGCAGTACAAAAAAGGTTAGTAAATTGTATGAAGATATCTGGTGGGAAACCTCCTGGAGAGCAACCACTCGGTACACAAAGAAGATGAGATGATAATATTTTAACATGGATCTTACAAAAACAGTTTATAAACAGGATAGAGTAAGCAGTTTTTGGTATTAATGGTGTTGAATCTTTGGCTTTTATCACCAGATTGTTGGGTGTGTAGCTGATTACACAGGCAATGGTACGAATAATGTCTGCACTATCAACAGGGCACAATGGTACCTGCACCTTGTCGTGGTGGTGGGGCTTGAGTACCTCAGTGATCCCAAGAGCTACGCTGGCAGTAGCATAGCTACTGGTAGGGCCTCCCTAGCCAGATTGGTCGAGTGGGAGAGGTCAGACTAAGACAGGTACCCTGGTCCTCCAGGTTGGGGGTTGGTCGCAAGGCTAACAACCTTGCACCGTAAAAAGGAAGAGGAGAATTGAGGAGGCCATGGACCGAATACGGACGGGAGAGCCATAGAAGAAGAAGAACACATATTCTTCCATACAAAATCAAATCTTTTCCCAGAGGACAGCAAGAATAACAGAAGGCAGTATGAAGGCATGGAAGTGAACACAATATCAGACATCATTTGTCAATCAGATGGCACCATTTCAGACTCATATGAACTGATTATAAACATGAATACATGAACAAGATATATACACAGATTATAGAGTTAACAGCAAATTAAATCATTGGTTTTGATGTAACACCAAAGACTACTGACTGTCTGCAGCACTTTAATACCACATAAAGAGAAGAGCAGGAGATAATTTAAAGAATATTTTTGACATGCAGAACTAAAGAAAAAGAAATGATATCTTTCATTTACAAAATATAACTTATTACAACCCTTCCTTAATTCAGAGATGGCCAACTTCAATAAACAGCATGAGTATTTTATTTGCACATATTATTTCCCAATTTTCACAATGAGAAATACATACAGAATTGTGAAGGGGAAAATTCTTGGAAAATTCAGGAGATGGGAGGACAAGCTTAACAGATTCTTAAGAAGACAAGTGGTAAGGATGGGAAGTAGATGGAACTGGCTCAAGATCATGTTTAGGTTTTAGTATTACTGGTGTTGATCTATCAGGACTCCCACTTACACTCACCTCATATCGCCAGTCTCTCATCATCAAGTAATCTTCTTATTTTGAATACATATTTAATAGGTAATGGACCTGTTTCTTTCCTAAGCGTTTTTCAGACTTAAAGAAATAAAAGAAACACAACAAATGTAAATACTGTAAATTACTGCAAAATACTAAATACAGTATCATTCTGAAGGTACCACTAACTGAATGAACATTAAACAAAAATTTGCATTATACTGAGTTCAGCACTACAGCAGGGCCAAAGTATACACTAAAACAAAACTCATAAAATATAGAATGGAAAGACAATGTACAAAAAACAAAACTATAACAAGGGCTCTACTTTATAATAAAATACCTTAGAGGCAGCAATAAAATGAAAATATGTGAATGATCCCTTTCAATTGAACAGTGTCTAAAGAAAATGTACGAAACAAAGAACTACATGAGAGCCACTTATTTCTTCTTAATCGTAAAACAAAACAATCCTGTTTTCAGTGATGCTTAAATTGATTATTCACTAATCATAATCAAAACTGCAGATCTCTACTTGTTACATGGGCAGGGATTATACACTACAGAGGTCAGCACCATGGTTTTCACACTACTGCATGGGCAAGTGGGTACAATTCGTGCCAGGTACAAACAGATCAGAACAGCATTTTTCAGTACAAAATTTACTTACAACAGCAGAAAACTCCCCATTGTATCAAATTTCATGTTTCCAGTCTGATTCTCACTCTGTTGTAAGGTGAAAAGTAAATCCTATGGGAAACATGTAAAGCCTTTTTCAAGATACCTCATATAATATTATTCTTTCAGAAAAAAATCAAAATGACGTACTGTATGTTATCCACAACATATTAATGGAGCTGGCCATCTCTGTCTTTCTTAGCATAACTTCAAAACTGTATCTTGTTTCTGTGTACTAACACCCTTTTCTTTCACTTTCATTCGGTACCTGCATCAATACTATATAACATCAGTAAGTATCATTAAATAAAAAAGAATAAATAAATAAAATGTTACTGCAATATTTCTGCTACAGTACAAATTATTTAGCCATTACTTTTTCATTTAGAAATATGAACACTCAACTTCAGTTTGTTGAATGTTGGTATGACAAAATTTGCATTACACACTTTCAAGACTTTAACAAAAATAAAATACAAAAAAAGTCAATCAGATATTAATTAATTAAAAGCAAACACATTAACTGTGACCAAACGCACATTGTTTTGGATCATTACTTCTAACATGCAGGAGCTGAGGCAGCTCAGTCAGTACAGTGACTGACCACAGATTGGATGACTGGGGTTCAATCCCCAACAAAGGCAGAGGATTTTTCCTCTAGCCTCTGTGACCAGACCAGTTCTGGAGTCCACCTAGCCTACTGTCCAATGGGTACCAGGGTCCTTTCCCCAGGGGTAAAACGTGGCCACGGAGTGACGCTAACCACTCACCAACGCCAAGGTTAAGAATGAGTAAGAGCTATATGTCCTCTCCCCCAAGCGCCTACATGGCAATAGTGGTACAGTTTAACTTTTTTACTTCTTTATAACATGCAAAAAGATACAGGTCATGCAACACTTAAAACATTGCAAAAACAAGCAAAATAACTGAATGAAAAGGTGTCTAAAAAGTCTTTAAACATAGAACAAATTGTATATATAAAGAAATTTAATTCTTTAATTCCAAATTCAATTAGTCAGCTTAGTGTGTTATTAAACCTGACAAACATAACTTACACAAATATACCAAACTCTGTATTGGTAGGTTACATATTTAGCTGTGTGGATTGTAGTTTTCTGGGTTGACACCAGGCAATCTTACAGTTAGTTACCAACATTTTACTGTGTTCACAAGAACCCACCATTGGGCCCTGAGCCTGAAATATTCAGTTCATATCCAGTTTAATATTATCCTTTCAACTAGACATTGGTCTCACAAGCTGTCTCTTCCCTTCAAGTTTTCTGACGAAAGGTTTTTTGTATTTTACATCTCTCTCATGCATGCTACATGCCATAACCAAATCATCTCCTTCACTTCATGACCACAACAATATTTGGTGAAGAAAACATACACATTGCTGCCCTAAATTCTTCAAGATTCATATCTGCTTCAACATCACACACAGTAACTGAAATAACTATTACTCAAAATATTAACATACACTTACCTCTGAAATGTCTGCCTTTTCACATAGTTCTCACGTACAAATTCAACAATTTGCTTTTGAGTTTTACCACTGTACCTATATAAGAGAAAGAGAATTTTAAAATTTTACATAATCAGTTAAATAAAAATCATTAAAAGAATTAAAGTAAAATTATGGAACATAAAGAAGGAGCATATTTCATAGCATTGTATAAATTTGTTAACACTAACCTAAAAGATGAACCTCGACTCAAGACGCGGGTTTTCTGCCTTGGAACATGTTTGATAGCTGAGCAGCGGAAGAAGCCATGGTTTTCTACGCACTTTTTCCAGAAATTTTTGCACTCATTTCGACCTTCAAAGAAAAACTCCACTGTATCTTTGTAGTAACCCTGAGAATAAAGTAAAAAATAAGCATATTAAAATCTAATAAAATACAAAAATGTACAAATAAATAAATAAATCCGTGGCGTAACAGCTCCAGAGAGCCAAAGCCGACTAGCTTGACTGCTGGTCTCACGTTCACATGCCTAAGCAGAGGTGAACGTTCATCCAACCAGATATAGGGTGACGTGTGGTCAGCACGACGAACCCCCAGCCATTGCTAGTTTTCCTGACCGGATTACGCTACCCATTGTAGCTCCCCAATTTCCTCACGATGCTGGGTTGGCACCGGTCCCATACACTGGTCGAAAGCTCATGACAAAATTTCTTCTCCCCCCAGCCTCGAACCAGCGCGCAATCCGTATCACCGGTCCGAAGCATGATGCCTCAGACCGCGCGGCTACGTCCAACACTGTATTTTGTGGTCTCTGGAGGATTAAAAATGTTCCCTTTATTCAAGCAAGTTTCGTTTAAAAAATCCACATATGACCTCTCAGCAATACATAAAAAGTTTAAGCAGCCACATCATATTTCTTTCTCTCTTTTTTCTTCATTATTAATTACATGCGCTAAATTTCACCAAAACTATGGAAACTCAGTTCATATATAAAATAATTCATCTGTTGATATTTTAAAAATTGACAATGCGTGATATTTTGCCTACCAACAATACAATACAGCAAGCCTACATACAACAGCTCATTGAACGTAACAGAAAATTGTACGCTGACCAGCTACTACACATCCAACTTCAACATATTCAAACTACATTTCACTTCATTTTGATTTTCTATAGAAATTTCTGAAGAGAGAGATAATTTATATTGTGTTTTAAAATATTTTAACAACAAATAAGGAATCACTTGGCAGCATCTTATTTTAAGTAATTTATTAACTGCACATAAAAGAAAAGAGATCACAGAGTTGTAGAGAGCACCAGAATATTGTTCAACACAGTTCAGGACACTGAAATTACATAGCGTATTGGCTCTATTACAAGATGGTTGTTTTGAGCAGTAACCAGAATTTAAAATTCATAACTGCTTTATAATCACACCTGACCATAGACTTCATCCCAAACTCTGAGAATGACATTCTGTGACTGTCTAAACCTCAAAAAAATAAGAAGTAAACTAAAAAGTTGATAACAACATTTCCAGAAAACATAGTCTCAGGTCTTCCACAACCCAGAACACCATCATCAATGCTACTTACATAGCCTTCTGGGTGAAGTTTCACAAGGAAGCGTTTTCTTTTAAAGCTGATTTTGCGAATCTTGGCCCAGGAAAACGTATTGATCTTGGTAAAGTTCTGGAAGACAACGATGCCCATGTGTGCCACAGCCAGATTCAGTGGCACGCCCTCATGATCCTATAAAATAGTAATGCTTACACAAACTACAGGAGCATAGTTTTCAGTCACTTCAGGAAAATATTTTGTATATTCGTTTTCCAGTAAAGTGTAACAGATTTTAAGACCATAAGGTAGGAAGAATAAATACTGCTGAAATGCAAATGTAAAAAGGTACGAAATATCATTGTGCTTTATATATAACAATTCTACATCACATAAACTTTACCTTTGCTGGATGCATCTTCATACCGTAAAGCTCACAACGACGGGATGTCTCCAGCAGATTCAAGTCGGCTTCTGCTGGTGACTGACCCCTGTAAGTAATTTACACATTTTATGCACTAAGTACTCACACTATACATTATTACATTCAATTATTACATCACAATTCCTCTGACTACCCCACAAGATTCCTTAAACATATATTGATCATTTGCTAAGAAATGTTGCAAATCACTAATGCACTAAGTCTCGGGCATGACGTTAAACTGCGTCTACAGACCAAGTGACCACCAGTGTAAGTGGTCCCCCTCTACCAAGTGCCAACAGCCTCCTCAGCACCCTCATGCCCTTGGGGTGAGAAATCACCCCTAAAGGCAGATGAACTGGATGGGTCAACGGCATAGGATGCGGAAGGCAAGGGGAATCCACCGCATTAAAGATCCTCAGGATTTCCCCAAGTATCAGCAGCTCAAGCTGCTGCCAATCAATCCTAGGATTGATTACAAAAGAAGAAGACTAATGCACTACTAAAAATAGCCGAGCTACTAAGTGAAATTTTTCTTTCTTTCCAAAAACTTTTAACTTTGACATATCTTCTAGCACTATTTTGAGAAAGTACAAACCAATCACAGTAACGTGCTTTCTAAACACCCATTTTAATCTTATACTTTAATTCAAGTCTTGATCTTTTAAATACCAACAGAAGTCGTTACCTGATCTCACTCAAAACTCTCAATTCATTTAAGATGCAACCTTGTCTTAAATAAACATGACACTGATGGGATATTTGGCTTCCAAAAAGGGACATATTCACTGCCAACAATGGTAACTGCTGATCAAGCAAGTGGATTCTTCTAATGCCAAAGATCAGATAAAATAGTTTATCTCTGTCTTTGATTGATATATTTCCTTCTTTCGAGCAAATAACACGTAACTGTCACAAAACTTTTAAAGAAGAAATCAAGAGTTTGAAATGACTGAAAAATAAATACACATACAAATTATACATACCAATTTGACACAAGCATTACTTTTCTTGACTGAGTTTAACAAAACAGTCAATAATGGCTTGTTAACACAATAATTAACAATAATGCCCGGCAGAATAGGTTAACAAAGATCTACTAAAACATGTTGACAAATTAAACATTAAATTGTACTAACGCATGTTTTTTGTGATTCTCCATGATTCTCCGCTCCAACTCATGGTCTTGATTTGGTACAAACTTATATGTAGACAGGTATGTATGATCAGGATAATCTTCCACCACATAATCTCCACATTCAGCTGCACACAACAAATACATTTTATAGAAACAAAGTGCAAGTTGAAATAAAAATGACAAACACATAAATACACTTATGTGAAGAAAATTTATCATGAATCATTCTGACCCAACTGCCTATTAAATTGATTTCAAATTGTACAGAATGGTGAAGTATATTGATAATAGTGAAAACTGTGGTGTTTCCTTATCTAGTAAAATCAAAAAATCATTAAAACAACACGTTCAATCACTGATGAAGGGCAAATTTAGCGCAACACGTTTCATCACTGACCAACATAACAGTGTATTTTTCCTCATGCTGACTGCTCTGTGCAAGCTTTCAAAACAACAGACTGTTTGCTAAGTGACAATAGCATCTGACAGTTTATTATACATAAACTCTGTAGAATAAACCGACAGTTTTACTAGATCCACACGTTACTAACCAAACATTCTGGTTCAGTAGATAGCATGTCTGCTTCATATTTGTGAGGATCTGGGGTTGATTATTGTTATAAGAGAAAACAATTCTGCCATTTTCATGGTTTTTCTCAGTCCTCCAGTATCTAAAAGAGGTCATGATTGTTTCTTCTGAATCCTTCATAATTTATCGTTCATAATATGACACATGTCCTACCAAGTGTCATTAAATAAGCTAATCTTCTTCTTTATTACGCCGTCTCCTTTATAGGAGGTATAGGAGATATTATGAACAGGATCCTTCCATCCTTTTCTTGGACTGGGACTTGTTCATATAAGTTTTTAGGCAGGTGATACAGAAGTGGTTTGCCATTGCCTTCTGTGTGTATGGAGTATGGAGTAGTTGTTGGGATGCCATGGAGAAACCGGGGAAGCCCCGGAGGAAAACTCCATGTTGCCTAGACCATGGCCTTGCCCAATACAAGTTATAAATTCGGGCACTGACGGAAATCGAACCCGGGACCGGCCAGCGTTCTAACCGCTAGACCACCATGGCCGTAAATAAGCTAATAAACAAGACAAATTTTACTTAAATATGCAAGCCATTCATGTTATGTGTGTAAAGTGCAGAATAAATATTCAAAATATTGTGTATCATAACATATTAGATAACTGTTATAATAAAATAGAAAAATATTAAGAAAACTTGGCATATGAGTATGTTATTTCTTTGTGTTCCTCAAGCATGTACAATGCAGTTAACCTCCCTCCAGAACAAATTGGGGACTAAATGTCTAAATCACAGCACTTACAAGGGCTTCAAAAACTGCTCAGAAAAAAACAATTACAGTCAAAACACAAAATGTCTAAAATAATGATATTTAATGTATATTTGCCACAATACTTAGAATAAGTATGATTGACAGCTGCCTTGATATGTTATTTAATGATGGTGTTTCAACCAGAGATTATTTAGTGTCAAATTTGGTAAAGTGAACTGGAAAGGAATGGAGAGGAACTGGTCATGGCCTAATTCAAGGTACAAGAACAAATTTTGCCTTCAATGACAGGGAAATTATAAAGAAATATTCTGAAGCTAGGATAGCCAAGCCCCACTTAATGGTACCCACACCTTGTCATGGTGGTGGGGCTTGAGTACCTCAGTGATCCCAAGAGCTAGGCTGGCGGTAGCATAGCTACTGGTAGGGCCTCCCTAGCCAGATTGGTCGAGGGGGAGAGGTCAGATTAACGCAGGTACCCTGGTCCTCCAGGTTGAGGGTTGGTCGCAAGGCTAACAACCTTGCACCGTAAAAAGGAAGATGTTTCAAAACCTCAATCAAAGCCTCGGACAGAATGGACCTAACAATAGGACCGAATGGAAGAGGAGAATTGAGGAGGCCATGGACCGAATATGGACCGGAGAGCCATAGAAGAAGAAGAGGATAGCCAAGATTCAGTCCTCACCTTGTACTATATAAGAAGCCATAAGAGCAGCTGTATTATCATTACACTGAAGTAAACCCTGGGCCAAGTCACGCTTGATCTGTAGGCAGAACAGGTATCTTGTGAACTCTTCTTCCAGTTGTGCTGGATCTGGTGTGTAGAACTTGACACAGAACTTTAGCAATGTATCCACCAGAGAGAGCCCAACTTGCCTGGACAATGGCTTTTCCAGGTCCAACCAGTACTAACAAAATAACAGGCATTTACTTAGTTCAATATTCACTCAAATTTCATAGCATTCAGACACAGTAATAACGCATGGTTCTTAAATACTGGGATACTGGGAACAACCCGTTTATCAAGTTCCTGAGCACTGCGGTTCCCAACTTTTCATTGGCTCGATCTATAGACATTCGGTAGGAATCCTTGGATGAGGGATCGGTCGCAAGGCCTCTACCTGTACACAGGACAGCACAACACAGAAAAACGCGGACAAACATCCATGGCTTGAGTGGGATTCGAACCCACAGTCCCAGCGATCAAGCGGCACAAGGCCCACGCCTCAGACTGCGCGGCCACTCTTAAATATCAACTTAATATAAAACTAAATAAAATGGAAAGAACTATACCAACTGATGTAATATACATCATGTACTCATTAACATTTAATTAACACCAGTGACAAGTTTTCAGTATTGTTGACATCAACTAAAAGATACACTTGTAATTTTCAGCATTGCTGGCTTAAAACAAACACTGAATAATTACCGTAAAGACCATGATGTTTTGATAATTAGTAGTTCAGAAGCACAAGGGCTTTTGGGACACTCCACACTGCATTACCAACTGGAAACAGTGCATTATACTGAAAGAAACATATACTTGGATTCAAATACTCACTTTGGTTCCACCAACTTCTTGGTATTCAAGTCCAAAATAATCTGCTTCAAGCAGATGAAGCTGCTTACAGACTTGATCAAACAAAACTCGACCCAAAGCTTTTGCCTGAAACAATATAAAATTTTATACTGGAGATTTGGAGAAAATAAAATTCATCCCTGCAATACAAAGATACAGAGCAATAAAGGGCCTCAAACATCTGCATATGCTTGGTTAATATGGATAAGAAAAAACATATGCAGTTGCTTAGTACAAAAAATGGCTCATTTACCATCTCATGGAGGAGATTCCTCGAGAAGCCCATAACTTCTCAGCTGCTCAAGAAATTCTGTCTTTCACTGAACCCAAATATTCATTGCCGTTTACAAAAGCACGCCAAGAATGAAGCCCTTTGTAACATTCTGTAATACACCTTTCTTTTGAGGTAATTGTTAGACACAAGCCCAACCCCCAAACCTAGAGGATCCCACCTTGTAAGCTGTACAGAATTGCATATTCAATACATTATGTATGTCACTACCCTAGATATCGAGTCTGTAACCTCCATTTGCAACCCGAGGACAAGCTATTCTGTGATAACAAGGAACTTCTTAACATTGAGTCATTAACCGTAAAACAAATTTTAAATATGCTGGCTATACAAATACCTGCAATCGTACACTTCATTCTGATAAGAATTTGGTAAAACTACCCAGAACTGAACTTTACAGACAATTAGGGCTACAACGAGCCCTTCTAGAGTCTGGTTCACCTCAATTTATAACATGGAGGTATATAACAAAATATTTTATTTATATATCATTGAAACAAAATATTAGAAGTATAACACATATAAAGTTATTATTACCCACTTTCATGGCACAAAAACAAAAATATGCCATGGTACATTGTTCATTAATGCCTGTTTCAGCTTCAAAGATCACTTCACAAGTGTGTAAGTGTAAGGGCTCAAGTCCATCGTCCACAAAGAGCAGATTCAATAATGTTTGTCTTGAATTTCGTGTACTTTATTCACTGTGTACTTACAAATAAAAACAGAGATTAGAAAATCAGATAAATGTTGTTTTCACCAACACCATTGTTGAAGCGGTCCCATAGCACCCTTGGTATAACATGGATATATTGTAGTTAAAGTCTCTATGGGAAAAGATGATGTGGGAAGCCTTTAGGTAGAGAGTGGATAAAAGTTAAAGTTATTCTGCTACTTATTAAACACCACACCACGAAGACATATGGGGGCATGGAGAATAAGTAATTAAGAAATAACGGATATTACAAAATAAGGAGCGTAATTATTTATACAGCTCACCTAAAAAGTTTACAGTAAAATTAAGCAACTCTGCACTAATGGAAATTATGTACACAAATGGGTCACTAAACAGCATAACAATTATTTTTATAATTCTTTCTGGTTTTACTACATACTATAATGACACTGAAACAAGTAGACCTCTGAATTTCTGTGGAGAAAATATTAATTACTAAAGTCACTGACAGTAAAGTACCCAATTTGTAATACCATGAACTTCATCCCTGCCAAGTTTGTGTCTTTACACGATACATATTTGACCGACTTCCATATACTGTCTGACAATAATGTCAGAAAGATATAATCTCTGGTGCAGAATTAAAAATAGATAACATTATTTTCACTTTAAAATCACGCAATATTGAACTTTGTTGTGAGTTCTCAAAAACAAGTAAATCGAACTTGAAAATACCTTCTTTAAAACGTAGTATACCACTTTTGCATTTAACTGAGCTCATGAACCGTACACTATTCCTACATATCTTTAAATGAAGGCCCATGTTTCCCGTTGCGATATCGAGCCATCTCCCTACGCAATCTGAGTTCATGTTTCGTTTTACGACCAACGCAAAATGTTCAGACAACTCTTTAAATATGTTTCGTGGGTTACACGTTTTAAATAACTGAACTTTTACCAGCTTCTTAAGGACTGTGCAATAAATCGCGATTATCAATCCGCAATCCGCGGACATTTTAGGCAAATTCGCAACTGACAGATACAAAAACACAACTATTAGCTTCGCCATTTCTGCCTGGCTGTCTAGATATACTTTACCTGTTGTAAGAAGGCAGACAAGCTTTCTTAATGTCGTATTTGGCAGTACCCATCACTGTCGGCAAATATTCAAAGAACCGAAGGGAGTATGATCAAGAATTAAGACGCGTATTCCTGATAAATATTTGGAAGATGTATGCAAATGACTACA